GACACTTAATCTTCAAAAAGATTAAAAAAAAGAAGCCAAAGTCTGAAGTTTTCCACTTTAATCTTTACGCTGGTACATGAAGTTGGAAGAGACCATACCACAGGACAGCGTTTTCTGGTGTATGCCTTGCGCTCTGCCCGCAACGTGCGACCCCCAGAGATAGACGTGGTCAGGGTGACACACGGCCTGCAATGAAGTTCCCGCTGGCGGGTACAAACAAGGTATAATGTCAGAGTTAGAAGACAACATTCTTGTTTTCCTTAAGTTGTACCCATTTCAGTACTTTACCTGTTAATAGTTCTAAAAAAGTTTAATTATTCCTCTAGATCACCTGGCACACAAAGCAAACAGAAAAACTCTTAAGTTTTTCTGTATTACTAAAGAAGGTAAGATCAGACTTTAAAGTTAAAGATCTATAGACACTTTAAGGCAAAACAGGCTCATAAAGCAATTCAAAAATTAACAATTTAGTAAAAACAGACTACACAATATTTTGTTTTTACTTATTTTTTATTTTGTCTATTGATCTTTAAATTAAATTAGACATTTCTATTGGTTTCTCATACTCTTATACACACCTATTTTCTCCAATGTCCTCCATTAGTATGGCTGGTAATTGTTTTGGTGATTGCCTCCCCCTCGAGATGCCTTGCCGTATGTGCTCTGTTGGCCTATTTTGTAAAGAAAAAATTACATTACAATGGTTTCCCACTGATTCTCATCAGAAACATTAAAAATGGTAATAAAACTTTGCAGAGAAGGGATCCCAAAATTTCCTCCAAAAACCCATTACAATAAAATCCCCAAACAGATTAATGGATGGAAAACCCTTAACCTTGAAAACTATTTTAGAATGGGATACCTTTCTAAAAATTTAAAATTTGTTTATAAAATTAAGGTAAACTTTCTTACCACTGTAGTCTGCATATCCCTGTCCATATCCATAGTTTCCATAGTTATATCCAGTATAATCATATCCGCCATAGCCACTATAGTTTTGATCACCACCATAGGCACTATTGTAATTTCCATATCCTTGATCATAATAGTTATTATACCCTTGGTTCCAGTTTTGGCCCTGACCTGAAACAATGTAAAAATGATTGTTAGTGAACACACCAGACCCTTAATTCTAACACAAGATAACTTGCTCATGTGCCCCACTGCACTGTTTTAAAATCAGGAAGAACATTAATACTATCTGCTTGGGAGAAAAACAAACCCACGAAATGTTTTTTCAGGTATCACGAAAGGGAGTAGAAAATCATACCAATACCATTTCTAAATCTACTGGAGGAATCAGGACCAACAAACCCAAAGATGGGAACATGTAATACACCATGGTGCACCTCAGGACAGAGACAGCATTGTACTCTTGAAATGCAGAGGCAGTTCTACTTTGTACTATGGCATCACAAGTGGCAATCAACTCGGTGGCAGTGCGCCTGGAGTTTTTGGTGACCCCAGGTGAAAGTAGCAAAACCACTGCACAACTTGCCAGCTGAGCATTTCCTCATGTTTGAAGAATTTGATGTTTAAACTGGCTTCACTTCTTGGGGGCAATTCAGTTTACATAATTTTGCAAAACTAACTCTTACCTCGTCCACGACCCCTAGTACCACCTCGACCACCAGCTGCAGCACCTCTTCCTCCTTTCTGCTGCTGTTGCTGCTGCCTGTATACCTCTTTGGGCTGTGCAACTTTGATTTCACACTATAAACAAACATGGGCATTAGCTGTTTGCCTTGAGTCCAAAGAATATTATTCTTCTCATAGCCAACTGAGAAATTATATTCCCATTTAATTTAAAATGGCATTACCTTCCCAGAACCAATTTGGTGGTATCTGCTTTCTAACAGTTTCTTTACTGGCTCTTCATCTGTGTATGTGATAAAGCAAAACCCTCTTCTCTCATTTGTTTTTGTATCCATGGGAAGTTCAATATTTTCAATCTGAAATCAAGACGCATGCTTAAGACGAGCTAATAGTATTAATATGCAAAGTTTTTAAAAGCCACAGGTGTCTCCCAACCATGACACATTAATCAAACCAGATGCTTTAGATTTAGATACACGTTTTTATCCTACAGTGATGTGATGCATGTGTGAAATGCAGAAAATAAGACCATAAATTGATTATAATTTGTATTCAATATTTTGAACCCAATAGATCCCACTAGTTTCTAAATCCTAAGTTAAGCCACACCAAAACACCCCTGTTGTGGCCAAGATAATTTAGACAATGTTTTTTTTTCTGAGCACGAAGGGCAAAAGGTTTTATCATTGGAAGAGACCCTTGATGCACTCTGTTGCCACATAATTTTCTCCTCTGGAGGCCTTAATATTCACTTTAACAACACACCAAACACTAATGATACATATAATAAATATAAACAATCAGACAGCCCACCTCTCCAAAGGCTCCAAAATATTCTTTAATCTGTTCTTCTGAAGTATCTGGGCTCAATCCACCCACAAAAACCTTTTTGGGGGGTTCCTTCCCCTTTAAAGCTTTGGCCCTTTTGGGGTCTATCAATTTGCCATCCAGTTTGTGTTCTTTCAGTTCCAAAACCTAGAAGACAGGATGGATTTATTTTGACAAACACAATAAAAACCTGTAGCTATTTGCAAAAAACAAAAAACTCAGAAAAGCAGTACAATGCAGATCCCGTTCCTACCTTATCAACACTAGCAGCATCTTTAAAAAGCACAAATCCAAATCCTCTTGAGCGGCCAGTGACTGGATCGGTTTTAATTGTGCAGTCAACAACCTCTCCAAATCGAGACAGATATTCAGTCAGATCTTTCTTGCTTGTATCCCAGCTCAAGCCTCCGATAAACATTTTACTAGAAATTTAAAAAAGTGCTTTTTAAAAAAAAGTCAGTGACTCCAACATCCACCAAGACTAACTTCCGACTTCGGTGCGTAATACCTAGAAGCCGATGAGTCAGGACTCTAGCCCGTGTTTATCAACAGTAGTAAGAGCAGTCCACAAAGCCGCCAAAATTGCGATGACTTTACTAAAACCTAGTGCTCAACTCGCTCTTTACATCGTTTTCTGCAAAATCTACTCGGGGCCATCAAAACACGCTCCAAGGTGCTGTCCAGACCCGTTGTCGCGCAAACCTGCTTCCTGAACGCATTTCTCCAACTGCGGACCACCCCCTTCCCCAGCTGTCACTCCAACATGCCACCTAACGGTGTCCACCACCGGCGTTCCGGAAATCTCAAGAATCAGTCGCCTCCTGCTCCCCAAACCAGGACCGTTCTAAGCTGCCGCCGGGCAAACCGCGCCGAGCACTAGCACAATGAAGAGGCGGGCGGCGGCAGCTGCAGCATGTGGCGCAGCAAAGCCGGCCCCTCCCCCTTCGGCCCCACGCGGCGCGTGCGCACTCGGGACACACCGCCACCGCCAACCCCCGCCCTTCCCCCACCCTCGCGGGCTTTGGAGTCACCCCTCCTTGCGCGACTTTCCCCCTTTTCCCAAGCCAGTGGGGCCCGGCGAGCACGCGGGGCATGAACTCGGGGCAAGCATGGGAGGCGCGCGCAGCTCTCAGGGGAGTCGGGGCGCGCGGCGGGCCGGGGCCCGGAGGGAATGGGGGGGGGGGCGAGCGTGTGGTACCCGTCATCCTGCTGATTCTTGCTCGCGTTTATCTTGGAACCCTCTGCGAATTCCTCCATGTTGCTGTACTCATTCATGTCCTCCATGGCGACGGAGCTATCGGCAGCAGGGTGGTGGCGCGCAGACCGAGTCGAGGCGGTAGCGGCGGCGGAGCGTTGTATGGAGCTGGATTTAAAATGGCGGCGGAAGAGATCTGGGCGCCGCCTGCGCCCTCCCTTTATAGCCGCCCCGCCCGCCAATCGGGAGGGCTGCTGGGCGGTGACGTGGCGCTGGGCCCGGCGCGCCCCCTGCCGGGCGGAGCTGGGAACAAGCGAAGGGAGGAGCGGGGCGAGCGGCCGCGGTGTCCGCGACCGCCAATGGGAGAGGCTACGGGAGGCTAAAGTAGCGGGAGCGGAAGGAAACAATGGCGGCGGCACATGGGAAAGTCGGGGCGGGACCTCCATTGCGGCCCTCGCGGGCTTGGGAGCAGAGAAGAATCACAAAAAGCGACGAGGTGGAAAGTCCTTGGGCCCCAAGTCCCGCACAGCGCTGTCCCAGGGTCACAGTCCCTTTTGCCTTGAAGGCCTTTGTCTCTAGCGTCCGATCCAGCCTATTCCTAGCAAAGAGTCGCCAACCCCGCCTTTGTCCTCCCTCAGTCCCCCAGGACGGAGCTGCCGCGGCGGCTGCTCTGGCTTAGCGCCCGTGGCCAAGCTGCTCCGGAGAAAGGCGGAGTGCGCCCGGCGCTCGCGGCTGAGGCGGCGAGCGCGCCCACCCGCCGCGCGCACGCGTGTTTGGTCCTAGAGCTGGCTGGACCCAGCCGAACAGGAAGCGGGTGCCCGGCTACCCCTACGGGCAGCGGCGAGGCGCGGGCGTTTCTTCCGCTGCCGCCGCAGGCGCGCCGGCGAGCCTGCCTAGACGACGGTCTGAACCGAGACCCACGCAGTCAGGAAAACCAGAGCCCACACGGTCGCTTCCGTGCGCCGAAGGAAGGAGGAGGGCGGGAGGGGCTGGTCAGGTTACGGCAAATATGCAAAAGCGGAGGCAGTGGGCGGGGAAGGGGGTTAGGTGCTGTAGAGGGCAAGGGGCACTCACATCCCCGGCGCGCCCCTGGCGGGGCTCCCTTCTGCTCGTGCCCCGGGCCTCTCCCGCTCGCACAACCAGTCCGCCGAGAGCGCGCGCCCGCGCCCCCAGCTCCCGCGTTCCCTTCTTTGTTCCCGCCCACGCCAGGCCCATTTTTGACGGATCTGGTTCGAAGCCCTCTGGCGGCCAATCGGCGTTGGCGCCTTTCCTGACCCCTCCCCCTGGATCCCTGGGAGGGCCGCCCCCTTGCCTTGCCCACGTGGTCTCGGCCTCCTGCCCTTCGCCGCTTCCGAGTCCGGCCACCCGGCGGCTTTCCTTCGTTCCCGGCGCCCGGAGGTGGCCTCTCCCCTGCGCACGACAGGCCGCACGCGTCTGCCGGCTTCCGAGACTTTTGCGGGGCTGTTGGGAGTCCCGTACGTCTGTGGGGCTTGCCGCCGCCATCCTCCACCCGCCCTGCCCGTAGGCCGATTCCCGTGGTCGCATCCGGCTGGGAAATGGTAGTGCTTTCCGTGCCCGCCGAGGTGACTGTGATCCTGTTAGATATCGAAGGTACCACAACCCCGATTGCTTTCGTGAAGGTGAGGGGCGGAAGGGAGCGGGGAAGTTACTTGTGCTTAAAAGCAAATTAAGAAAAAATGTCCCCCCCCCCCCTTTTTTTTTTTTTTTTAAGTATTGCGAACCTTGCAGTTGAGGCAGGAGGCTTAAGGGCGTTGTGGCTTTGCACCCGGCGTGGAATGGGGAGGAAGTAGGCCGTGGGGGTTACGGCGATGCCGCCCCACCTCTCGCCCACTTCCTTTCCTGCTCTATGGTTGAGATGGTGGTGGATGGGAAGGGCGGTGGCGAGAAAGGGCCGAGGGGAACGGGGGAGCTGGAGCGAGTGGGGTGAGGCGAGGCCTGGCTGGTCATCCCCGGCAGGTGCGCGCACCGTCGCCCACCAGGTGAGCGCAAAGTAACCGGGCCCGATCGGGGCGCCCGTGGCCTCAACTTAGCATTTGAGGCTTCTAGCCCCGAAAAATCAAGGGACTTGTGTGTCCAAGTGACTTCCAGAAGCCTTGCTGTCTTTGGAGATCGTGATGGCCCTCTAACCACACCTCCCGTATTCGGGCCAGATTGCATCTTAACTGGACTAGTCTGGTCCACACCGCTGATTGTACTGCGTTATAAAAGAATTCCCTTCTAGTTTCCGTCCACTTTCCTCGTGAAGCATGAAGCTCTTCATCAACTTAATCAAGTTACCCAAACCGTTCTTCCCGTAAAGTCACCGTTAACACTTGTCACAAGTGCACAGCTTTGCATCATAAAATCCAAGCAGACTCCTTTCTCATGTATGTTCTTACTGTACATCTGCCAGAATAAATATAAACGTTAGTGTAATTTTGGTAAGAATATTCCAGGCCAGGCTTTCTCTTTATTTGATTCCCAGAGTTTAACAATTCATTTAGCATAAAAAATGCTAACCAGAGGTGCTTGCATACTGTAATATGGAATAGTCCGAAGATGATTGCCTGTGTTTTCCTAAGTTTTTTTGGGGGTTGGGGGGAACCTATCTTCCAACAAACTGAAGTATCTAGAAATGTTTTCCTTTGTTAAAAGTTACCTGTGAAGAACAGTTTTCTGGATGTAGGTTATAATGTAAAATAAATGTAAACTTTTAGGGCTATAATTTAACATCCACTTATACAACATTTAAGAAAATAATAGTTCAATATCATCTTAGCAAATTAGGCATTAACATTTAAAAAAAAATCAAATTAGGAATTCTCAAGATTACCAATGCTGATCATTTTCCTGTTGAGTATGACAAAATAATTGTCTTCTTGAAGTTTATAGACAAAAAGGATTCCCATTTTTGTGATTTTGTGGGGACTTGATTTTGGTTCTTTTTTTCCCTCCTTTGTCATCCGGAGATCATAGGTAGTGACTGCAGACGTGGGTGACATAAGATAGGTACAATTCTGGGAACCTTTATTTGGGGAATAAGATCCCTAGTGTCAATCTTTGGTTTTCTGGCAGCTGGGCAGTAACAGTACATGACTAAACTAGGAGAATTCATTTCTGATGGCAGTTGTCACAAATCACCAATTTTGTGGCCTAAAGTAAAATGCATTTATTCCTTCATCCAGGGTTGCAGTGTTTCTGGAGGCTCCAAGGAGGACCTCGTTTTCTTACTCTAGAGGCTGCCTGCAACCCTTAGCTTGTAGCCTGTTCCTCCATCTTCAGATCTCTGGCTCCTGCTTGCCTCTCTGGTTTATAAAGACCTTATGATTGCATCAAGTCCATCCAGATAATCCAAGATAATCATTTCTGTATTTCAAGATCCTTAATTACATCTGCAAAGCTTTTTTATTAGTAAGGTAACATGCTATGGTTTTCATGCGTTAGGATATCGGCATTTTGGGGGGCGGTTTATTCTCCCTTTCGCACCTGGTTAACACAAACGTTTCTGACTTGATGCCTTTATAGGTTCTTAAAGGCTTTCTCTTGACACAGTGGGTTAAGTGCTTCAGAACAGAAAGGTCTGCACTTAGAACTCACTAGTTGCTACTTGGGGACAGCCTTGGAAACTCTGGAGCAGTGCTTTGGCCCTAAGATTCTGAATTGACTCATCCACAGTGAGTCAGCTTGGGTTGGATTTGGTTTGGGTTGGTGGGTTACAGGCTGGCTCTTGGCTACCTAGGAGTAGACTTTTAATGGTTACGTATTTATTTTTAAACTTATTACAATTTATGATACTGGATATGATCGACATGTTTTAGAGATTTAACAGGCAGCTTTTAAAAGAGATTGTGCTAGAGTCCCAAGGGTTGTGATGGTGTGGACTAGAGGTTGGTAAAGACATTGTTGAGGGACTTCCCTTACACAATGAGATATTGGGCAACATTTTGAACAAGACTGAATTAGTTAGTTTGTAACTGAGTACTACAAACTGCCTGGTTTAAAACAACAGGAATTTATTCTAAGTTCTTAGGCTGACTTGCCGTTGAGTAGATTGCTGTGGAGGGTTCAGAGGCTGTAAATCAGTATTTTCTAAAGAGGGAGATGCTGTCCCCTGGAGGGTGCTGGAGGTGGGGCTACAAAAGCAGATGCCTACACTTTATCCTGGGTTATGGACTATAGTACAAGTGTTTTAAATTGCTGGGGGTTGCTGAGAAATTTTTTTTGAAAAGGGGGCAGTAGGCCTAATAAGTTTATGCTGTAAATCTTTATAGGAGCAGACAGCCTCATCTTTCTCCTGTGGAATGGTTAGTGGACTTAGAACCACCTCTCTGGTGGTTAGCAACCCCAGGCCTACTGACTGCACAATCAAGGTGATAACCAGGTTGATTCTTTCTGGAGGTAGAGTCTGTCTCATGGCTCTCTATCTAGCTTATGGTACCCATAATCCTTGGTATCCATTGATTTGTAGATGGATCGTACTGTTCTTTTGTGTGATCACAGGGTGTTTCTCCCTGTGTGTCTGTGTCTTTTGTAAGGAAGGATACCCGTTCATATTGGATTAAGCCCCCCCTTATTCCTGTGTGACTGTATGTTAACTAAGTACATCTGCACATGTACTATTTCCAAATAAGGTCCCATTTCTGGTGACACTTACCAGTGACATGGGACTGCTAACCACAAAGTTGGCAGGTCATGATTACAGGGATCTACATATAACCTCCTCCCTGGGGGATGGACAACAGAAAAGTGGGTGCAGGGAGACGTCAGACAGTGAGACATGACAAAATAATTTATAGATTGTCAAGGGTTCATGAGGGAGGTGGGGGGGGCGGGGAGCAGGGAGAGAGGGGAGAAAATGAGGAGCTGACTTAAGTAGAGAGCAAATGTGTTGAAAATGATGAGGGTAACGAATGTACAAATGTGCTTTACACAGTTGATGTATGTATGGATTGTGATAAGAGTTGTATGAGCCCCCAATAAAATGATTTTTAAAAAAAGTTGGCAGTTCAAACCCACTAGCTGATCTTGGGGGAAACATGAGGCTTTCTGTCTTCACAAAGATTTTACAGTTTTAGAAACCCGATTAAGGGCCTCTGTGAGTCGGAATCAACTTGATGGCAGAAGGTTAGGAATTTGGGGGGAAACAAATCCCCCATAACAAAGACAAAGAGGATGAGAGTTCTCAAACAGAACTTTCTGTACTAGCAAATATAAACTAAGCAGGCACATTTTACACCCAACACAAATAGTTAATGTAGTAGGGTACCCTCTTAATTGAGAATCAAATGATTAAAAATATATTTTATTTTTTATAGATTTCTCGGGAATATATTTTACATTAAAGCACTTTTAGAATTAGTTAATCCATTCTTGATTATGTAACAATGATTGTAATGAACTCTTTTATTCCTTTTAGCCTAATAATACATTCTAAAAGGAAATAACTGGGAAATGTTGACATGACATTTTTCTCTTGAAGCTTGCTACATGAAGAGGCATTAAAGCTGTTCATTGAAGTTCTCATCTTTTTTTTTTTTGTGAGTGAGTGAAATGAGTGAGTGAATTAGAGAGTGAGTCAGTGAGTGAGAGAGTGAGAATGAGTGAATGAGTGAATCACTGAATGAGAGTGAGAGAGTGAGAGTGAATGAGTGAGTGAGTGAATGAGTGAGAGTGAGTGAGTGAGTGAGTGAATTAGAGAGTGAGGGAGAGTGAGAGTGAATGAGTGAGAGAGTGAGTGAGTGAGTGAGTGAATGAGTGAGAGAGTGACTCACTCACTCTCTAATTCACTCATTTTCACTCTCTCACTCACTCACTCTCATTCACTCACTCACTCACTCTCGTGAGTGAGAGAGTGACTTAGAGAGTGAGTGAGTGAATGAGAGTGAGTGAGAGAGTGAGAATGAGTGAATTAGAGAGTGAGTGAGTGTGTGAGTGAGTGAGTGAGTGAATGAGAGAGTGAATGAGTGAGTGAGTGAATGAGAGAGTGAATGAGTGAGTGAGTGAATGAGAGTGAGTGAGTGAGTGAGAGTGAGTCGGTGATTGGAGTGAGTGAATTAGAGAGTAAGTGAGTGAGAGTATGAGAAGTTCTCATCTTTTAATTCCGTTTTTCCCATGAACTTTTTGAAGCCCCCTCATACTAGTTTTTTGGGCATTCTAGAAGGAAAGTTTATGTTGTCTGATAGTATCTCCCAACTTTGATTAGAAATACATTTCATGTGTGCCATCATTTTGAGGACTAAGGTGCACCTGACACAAGCCATGGCATTTTCAATCACCTCATATGCATGTGAAAGCTGGACATTGAATAAGAACGACCAGAGAAAAGTTAATGCCTTTGCATTGTGGTGCTGGGACAGAATATTGAAAGTACCGTGGACTGTGAAAAGAACAAACAAGTCTGTCTTGGAAGATTTCTGATCAGGATGGTCAGATCTTGTCTCACATACTTTGGACATGTTGTCAGGAGAAAGCAGTCACTGGAGAAAGGCATTGTGTTTGGTAACGTAGCGGGACAGTGACAAAGACGAAAGCCTTCAAGGAAATGGATTGGCACAATGGGCTCAAGCATAGGAATGATCATAAGGACGGCTGGGGACCTGGCTGTGTTTCTGTGGTGCATAGGGTCGCTGTGAGTCAGAAG